CAACTATATAAAGCAAAGTAATCTTATCTTTCCAAACTATTAGTCTTCATATATTAAGCTACAAATCTAACCAAAACTTTACCTCAATCATCAGTGCAAGTTAAGTTTCATTAGAATTAGTCAAGGGCAATAACTGATAAAAATTTTGATGTTATCAGTCCACATTTAAATTTAAGTATTCCAAGTTCTAAACAATACAGACATAAGGGCTCTAAAACCTTCATAAAAACCTACTTGGATTCATTATCATAAAGTGCAATAACTCAAAATCCAATAATTTTATCATTGGCAGTTTAGAACTTATCCAAGAACAATCCACATAAGCATACACAGTCTACAAAATCAGTTGATAACAGGAACTTCTTTTTCATCATGTTATGCTGCTAACAAGTTGATTTAATCACATTTTTTATAACATCAACTTCATCATAAATTTAAAGTTTAATCTGTCAGTTGAAAACTTAAGCTTCTATCAGGCTTTTTGGTTTTGGCTTTGATTTGGTTTTTTAATTATAAACAATTTATCAAGTTTCATTTAAGACAGTAAACAATTTTACCAGATACAAATTTTCATTGGGCAATGACTCATTTGGATTAATTTCTGATTTTCTTCATTATCATTGTTCATAATTAGCTGAACTGACACAATTTTCTTTACTTTAAAGGGAAAATGTGCCATTTTTGTGGGGTTGAGTATCTTAAATTGACAAGTCATCATTTAACATTCAAACGCAGATAATTCTGGACACACATGGATTTGAAGGCTTTAATTTTGATGGTTAGCTGTGAACACTATTATTGATTCTGAATATGATTGAGTTGGGTTGAATATATATAAATAGAAATACTAAATCTAAATCGCATAATCCCTCAAATGTGAGTTAACTCACTTTAACCTTCAGTCCATTGTCTACAAACCAAATAACACATAGGCATAGATCTATACCATTTTGATCTGAAATTAGATGAGGATGTCTTTTCAATATATCGTCTGCTATGCACTTAAGCATTTTACCCAAATAGCAATAAAGAAACGCCTGCTGTGATACTATCTATATAGATAACCTCCTTTTTTTAATCTAATGAGTGACTAATTAATGGTATCTAATTGTATTTTTTTTGTCTCCTAATATATTAGATTATTCAAATTGTTTCAATTTACTATGGACAAAATTTTTTTTTTTTTAAGTTTATCTTGATTTGCCTGATTTTCATGCATTGTGATAAACATTGACATAATAGGTACTTAGAAATGAACTTTTGCTTCCCAATTTTTTTAAAAGGAATTAACAACATAAGACATCACCATAAATCGGTACATATTTATTCAAATTTACACTAGGAAATATTTTTAAAGTACTGTTAGCAGTCACCCTATATTGTGTAAAACTGTTGTTGCAGAACATAAAATAAAATCAATCGTTATCGTATTCAATTTTATTGTCTCCTCTTAATAAGAACTCTTTCATAATTTCTTGTACTTGTCTGAAACTTGTGATCATATTTTTTTTGTCGACGAATTTACATGTAAACAAGTTGCCTTGTATTCCTTTGTTATATGGCAAGTCTTAAAACAAGATTTCTTTAATAATTTAACTTTTAAACACATGGATAATTCTGGACACACATGGATTGGAAGCCGCAAATTTTTGTTGGTGAGTTGTGAACACTATTACTGATTAGCTTAGCTACATAGAATTCCAATTTCAGAGACTGAAGTTTGATTGGTCATACAGAAGGCAAAAATATTCCTTTAAATTATTGACAAAAAGTACCAGTATGTTTTTTTAGTGTGAAAAAAAGGTAGATGAATTAGGACAAGGCCCATCTCTCACTACTATAATTTGACTTAATTGTACTCTTAAATTCAGCAAAAGTTAACTTAATTGTCATTTGACCCGCCACTGTCACAGTCACATGAATGTGATGGCATCCATTGCATTGTCTTCTAAGGAAATATTGATCTTGATCAACAGGTGACAATTCTACGAAAAACATACGGTAAAAACAAAAGCAATACCCGTCCATTGTGTGTCACAGAGAAATAAGACAATAATAAACCAAACTATCTACAGAGATACTCACGGCAAATCAAATCATGCTATTTAATTCTATTTTGAAAATTCTGATTTCTTTTAATTTGACAGAAGGAAGTTGGTTAACTCGACGACCTTCACCTTAAAAGACAGAGTCACATCCATAAAAATAGCAGTGATTAATTTTCCTTTTTAAGGCTAGTTTCTGTTAATAAAAGCATCATACTGAAACTTGAACTAATCATTGATTCTGTTTTGCTAGTACTATCTTTTTGTAAATAAAATAGTAGGATTACGTGAATGTATTTCTTCGAAACTTTGGTTAAATTATCTACCTTTCTATCATAATATTCAAGATGGCAGCCCACAGTGAAAACTTTAGCTGGAAACAAAATCTACTTTCTCAATTGAAACAGCGTAATAAAACTCAAACACAAACTTATGCAAACTTGATCCAAGCAAGTAAGTCATAATACTCTCTCTTTTAAATAGATTGTTTAAGATTAATGGTTTTCGTTATGACTGTCAGTATGATAAAGCTTTTGTTTACATTTTGTCACTTGTTGATTGTTTGATGAAACCTCCCCTCTGCACCAGACCAAAGTCAATTTCAGTGGTATCAGTTTAGCTTTTAAAATTAAAACAAAACTTAGGTAAAAATTATCCAAAGTATTCCAAATGATAACTGATTCAAATCGTTTCTAGCTTTTCAACAAATACCGGCACTTCAATTCTGTTAGTGTTACGAAAATAGGCCTACTTGTTGTTGCCTTCTTGTAGATAATGGTCCACATGTGGATCAGGCCAGAGACAAGTCAGACCAACTTTCAATGATACCTTTTAAAGACTACCCTGAAAACTTTTTAGGAGACACCTTTGAACATTTTTTATAGGACTCAAACCAGCTGTAGACACTGTAGACAAATTCTCGTATCACTTTTAAGAAACCTTGGACCAACATGCACCGCTTTAAGACAAAAGCACAATTATTGACAAAATCAATAAAAAATTGTTCATATTTAATCAGTACTTGGTTGGATATTTACCAGCTATGAACCGCTTGAGCTTCTTTTTCACTATTTTGCAGGCACTTCTGTTTCTGTTCACAGTAAACAAAAATGGAAATTAGCAGATCAATCTAGTTTCAAATATGTGATTAAGTGACTTGTATAGGGCAAGGTACAAATGGCCATATGTTTGCATATACGTCCAAATATGTTGTTGGATTATCTCTAAAGGAGAGCTTTATCAAAAACCAAAATTGTTCTGTATGTTTTTGAGGGTTGAATATTTCTTTCTGGTGATGATTGCAACCTGTCAAATATCGTAATTCATTCTTATGATAACTGTCACGATTGCTAAAGACTACAGGCTAGACATTTCTATTAAAAAAAATCTATGAAAGAATATTTGTATTGTGATAGTATTACGTGTAATCTTACATTAATGGCTGATATTCTGATAATTTCTTCTATAGATAATCGACTACAAGAGCTAGTTACCACATTACGTTCAAAATCTGTTCATGCCCAAGTTGAAGCAGAACGTCTTAAAGAAGAAAATCTTAATCTGAGAGTCAAAGTTGAAAGTGGGTGAGTTTATTTTAAAAGCTGTATATACCTTAGAATGCTAAAGAATGAAAATTACTGTACCCCAGCATGAACAGAAGCAACAAAATAAAGGTTCAGATATAGATTGTTACAAGACCAGTAGTACCACTTTATCTATGGGAAGAAAAATAAATAAGTATCTTTATATTGAATCAAAAAGGATTTGTAGTTAAAGCCTAAATCTAAAATTCTAAGAACTAGCTGTAAATAATAAAAATGAAACTTGCATTGTCTTTAAGTTAAATAAAAAGTTAACAATGCTGCTATAAATCAATGAAACATTAATATTATATCCAGCTATAGGATTAAATAGAATCCTCCATGAATTTTTGAGCGACATTTATGTTACTAAAAAGACTTAGGATGTATATTTATGAACCTTTAGATTCTCTAAACCATATTGTTTTTCATTGCAGAAAGCATGGCTTAGGATTTCCGATGTCTTAAGTAGAAGCTATTTGACATGACATGACATGAATAAGCTGGTTAAAATAACTGCTGAAACTGTATAATGTACCACAATAAATTTTTTGTAACAATAACCATACCGGTACTTCAAAATTAATTAAGACAAACATAGCACCTGTGTCAAAGTTTGTCACAAAAATTACTTATTAACTTTTGAAATACTCACAATATTCAAATGAAACATGGCTAGAAAACGCAGATTGTTTTGAAATATATATAGTAGCCTGAGGCAGACCATAATATTGTATACAATCCTATATAAAATATATATAACATTTGACACCTGTCATTGTCACTAAATGATAGATTGAAAAATTCAGATTTTACACAATTTGATTTTAGTTGTTCTATTATTGTAATATGATGACCACAGTTTTTAAGTGTTAGAAATAAGGATTATTTATAATTAAGAGAGTTTTGAAAACAAAACGAGTTAATATGTTTGATTTAGTAGCAGCATTGTTTATTATCATCTTTATGATTTTAAAAATGAAGTTTGATAGGGTGAGAAAGTAAGTTTGAAATTATATTATTCTATCAAGTTTTATTATTTAAGTTGCATTTATAAAAGAAAATTAAACTTCTTCTACAGAGTTATAAGCAAATGTAGTTCACAAAAAATGATTTTCAAATCTGAACAGAAATAGATCAATTTGTAGCCTACCCAGGGGAGATATGATTTTATTTTAACAGTTCTAGGTGGTGTGGAACTATTGCATACTCCTTATTAAATGAAGGTTATTTGCTGGCTCAATATGGACACAATTAAATTATAAAAATTTGATATGACGCAGAAACTATAGGTTAAAAAATTGAAAATCAGACCAACACTATAGTCAGTACTAGTAACACTGCTTGATTCAAGTTTGATTATATTTTCAGAGGTGGAGGGGGTGGGGGTGAAAAAACTCAAGCTTTAGAACAAAAATTATACAGATTACAAGAAGAATTGACTGAATTACATCGAAAACGAGGAGAGGTAGGTTACCCTTTTTTATACGCCCACACATAAGATGGGCGTATATTGTAATCACCCCGTCGGTGCGTCCTCATCCGTTCACATTTGGCTCGTGCTCACTCTACAGGCTACAGTTCTTTATGGATTCTTTTGATTTTTATTTTGTATGTCAATGTTGTTATGAAGATGATCCCTATTGATTTTCGTGATGATCGGATAATTTTCCACCGAAATATCGTGTCTGACTTGACGTTTTTCTCTATTAGCTATATTGTCCAACTCGTGCTCACTCTACAGGCTACAATTTTTTACAGATTCTTTTGATTTTTATTTTGTGTGTCAATGTCATTATGAAGATGATCCCTATTGATTTTCGTGATGATCGGATAATTTTTCACCGAAATATCGTGTCTGACTTGACGTTTTTCTCTATTAGCTATATTGTGCAACTCGTGCTCACTCTACAGGCTACAATTTTTTACAGATTCTTTTGATTTTTATTTTGTGTGTCAATGTCATTATGAAAATGATCCCTATTGATTTTCGTGATGATCGGATAATTTTTCACCGAAATATCGTGTCTGACTTGACGTTTTTCTCTATTAGCTATATTGTGCAACTCATGCTCACTCTACAGGCTACAATTGTTTACAGATTCTTTTGATTTTTATTTTGTATGTCAATGTCATTATGAACATGATCCCTATCGATTTTCGCGATGATCGGATAATATTTCACCGAAATATCGTGTCTGACTTGACGTTTCACTCTATTAGCTATATTGTGCAACCCTGTAGTCACTAAAGACTGTTTAATCATTTCTGACAGCTGCCAGTGGGCGTATGTTACCTTGCCTGGCAAGCTATCTTTTAGTAAGGATAATACCCTTGTGTTTTAATCTGGAAGTGTAGAAGTTTATAGTCCTTAATCCAAATGCTCAAATGAGATAACCTACCCTGTAGGTTGAAAGTACTGACAAAAAGTGTCTTGTTGTGGGACTGTGCAAGTAAACCCTGGTAGCTATGTGTTGGGCACAATAGAAATGCCTTATCAGTAAAACAAGTCTTGAATTTGCTGCTATGATGGTTAAATTTCCAATACCGCACCATGCATGGCATTCAACTTCTTCATTATTCTTTTCAGTGAATGAAACGTTTAACTGGAGTTTGATACATGTATGACGATCTGCTACTTGTAAGGTCACAAATGTCTGACTAAAATTGTTATATTATTGATATTTGTATCAATGGATTTGTATTTTTTGTAGAACTCACAGCAGATAATAGATTTAAATGATAAATTACAAGCTAAAGAGAAAGAATTACTAGTTAAAGATGGCTTGTAGGTATCCTTTGTTTTTTTTTTCAATTATGGCTTATAATTATGAGCTGAAATGACGTTTTATTACATGCCCACATTATAATGTGGTCGTATTTTGTCCTCGTCCATGCTTCCGTCTGTCCACAATGGCCTGTGAACACAGTTACAGTTTTTATTTGATTTTTTAGTGATTGCCCTTGCCCTAAAAATTTGTTTGTGAACACTATACAGACTACAATTTTCATCTGATTTTTATACGCCCACATGAAATGGGGGGCGTATATTGTCGTCACCCATGTCCGTCGGTCGGTCCGTCCGTCCTTCCGTCCACAATTGCTCGTAAACACTCTACAGGGCACAATTCTTGACGGAACTTAGTATGTGTGTTCGCAATCACCCAAGGATAA